GGTAAGAAGAATACTGGCACTTCAAAAAAGAAGCCAGGAAAGAAGAAAACTTTGGGAAGCACTTGTTAATAAAGGAGACTTTGCCATTATTTGAACATTATAACAGAAGATGCAGCAAAAAAAGGCATTCAATCAGACAAATTAATTTTGCACTTTAGAATAAGTGAATATGACAAGAGGGCCATGATGGCCCTGGGGTCGCTCACCTGTACATAGGCCCCCAGGGCTTTTATTTGAACAAACTTGGAAGACACCCATAAGAAGATGTTTCATGATGTTAAGTTTTTACTATACACAAATAATGAAAAACAATGACTTTCGCCCCCCCCCCCTCCCCCTGGCAGGGCCAATTTTAACCCAAGGGCTTTTATTTGAACAAACTTGGTAGACACCCATTAGAACATGTTTCATGCTAAATATCTTAGCTCTAGCTCTTTGGGTTCTTTAAAAGAATTTTTTTTAAGTTTTTAATTACTATATGCAATATAGGGAAAATCAATGACCCCCTGGGGCGGGGCCAATTTTGACCCAAGGGCTTTTATTTGAACAAACTTGGTAAACATCCATTAGAACATGTTTCATGCTAAATATCTTAGCTCCAGCTCTTTGGGTTCTTTAATAGAAGTTTTTTCACTTTTTACTCTATGTATATAGGGAAAATCAATGACCCCTGGGGCGGGGCCAATTTTGACCCCAGGGCTTTTATTTGAACAAATTTGGTAGACACCCATTAGAAGATGTGTCATGCTAAATATCTTAGCTCTAGCTCTTTTGGTTCTTTAAAAGAAGATTTTAAGTTTTTACTACATGTATATAGGGAAAATCAATGACCCCTGGGGCTGGGCCAATTTTGACCCTCGGGCTTTTATTTGAACAATCTTGGTAGACACCCATTAGAACATGTTTCATGCTAAATATCTTAGCTCTAGCTCTTTGGGTTCTTTAAAAGAAATTTTTTTAAGTTTTTACTATATGCATATAGGGAAAATCAATGACCCCCTGGGGCGGGGCCAATTTTGACCCCAGGGCTTTTATTTGAACAAACTTGGTAGACACTGATTAGAAGATGTTTCATGCTTAATATCTTAGCTCTAGCTCTTTGGGTTCTTTAAGAGAATTTTTTTTAAGTTTTTACTATATGCATATAGGGAAAATCAATGACCCCCTGGGGCGGGGCCAATTTTGACCCCAGGGCTTTTATTTGAACAAACTTGGTAGACATCCATTAGAACATGTTTCATGCCAAATATCTAAGCTCTAGCTCTTTGGGTTTTTTAGAAGAAGATTTTTTTAAGTTTTTACTATATGCATATAGGGAAAATCAATGACCCCCTGGGGCGGGGCCAATTTTGACCCCAGGGCTTTTATTTGAACAATCTTGGTAGACACTTATTAGAAGATGTTTCATGCTTAATATCTTAGGTCTAGCTCTTTGGGTTCTTTAAAAGAAGATTTTTTAAGTTTTTACTATATGCATATAGGGAAAATCAATGACCACCTGGGGTGGGGCCAATTTTGACCCCAGGGCTTTTATTTGAACAAACTTGGTAGACATCCATTAGAGCATGTTTCATGCCAAATATCTAAGCTCTAGCTCTTTGGGTTTTTTAAAAGAAGATTGTTTTAAGTTTTTACTATATGCATATAAGGAAAATCAATGACTCCCTGGGGCGGGGCCAATTTTGACCCCAGGGCTTTTATTTGAACAATCTTGGTAGACACTCATTAGAAGATGTTTCATGCTTAATATCTTAGGTCTAGCTCTTTGGGTTCTTTAAAAGAAGATTTTTTTAAGTTTTTACTATATGCATATAGTGAAAATCAATGACCCCCTGGGGCGGGGCCAATTTTGACCCCAGGGCTTTTATTTGAACAAACTTGGTAGACACTCACTAGAAGATGTTTCATGCCAAATATCTAAGCTCTAGCTCTTTGGGTTTTCTAGAAGAAGATGTTTAAAGTTTTTTTCTTTTGGTTGCCATGGCAACCAGAGTTCTGCATAGAATGGAATTCTTTGAACAACTTTGTTAAGGCTTCACACAAGGAACATCCCTGTGAAGTTTCATTCTGATCTGCCTTATGGTTTCAGAGGAGATGTCGTTTGAAAAGTGTGAACGGACAACGGACAACGTACGACAGACGACGGACGAAGAGTGATCCTAATAGCTCACCCTGAGCATATGCTCAGATGAGCTAATAAAATAGGAGAGGAGCACAAAAATGTCTATATATAAAGCAAGAGCAACCGCCGGGCGAGGGCAAGGCTAGACTTTTTACTTTTTCTAAAAGCAAACAAAGATTATGTTTGAACAAATCTTAACATTTCCTTTTTATAAATTTAATCAGTCTGTCTTGCCACATTCGTTTTGTCTTTCTATTTCAAATATATGCATTTCTTGTGAAGGAAATCTTGTAAAGCTTCTTCCCTGTGACACAATTGACATGAATTGGTGTCATAGGGGAAGAATCTTTACAAGATATCCTTTACAAGGCTAATGCTTTTTTGCAAATCTATAAAGTTCACCACTGAGGTATCAAACGAACAACATGTTTTTCTCGACACAGTATCTCATATTAAAGACAATCATATAAAACAATATGCATCAGGGCACTTGATGACAAAGCTTCTGTGAAAGTTTGAACAAAATCCTTTGAGAATATTAAGGAGAAGTTGCGGCAAATGCGCACAGAAGAAATCGTTCACTATATATTCTACATAAGGGAAAGAAACAAAGGGCCATAATTAGGTCGAATATTATCTAATCACAAAACCCTGACAATATGCACAAGGGCACACAATGACAAAGCTTCTGTGAAAATTTGGGTCCAACTCTGTTGAGAAATGTAGGATTTGCGTACAGAAGAAATTGTTAGCGCCCACCGCCCATCCGCCCGTCAACATACCTCAATCTAATAACCAGATTTTTTCCTTTGGAAAACGGGGTTAAAAATGGGACAAAGATGAATTAAAAGAAATAAAAAGATATTTTAAAAGTTATCTTGATGCCAAAATATGTCCCAGAAAATAAGCAGTAGAGCTGGCAAAGAAACAAAGTGAGAAACAGAATGGTAAACTTTGGACGAGGAGCAATGATAAAATTGTGAAAAAAATCAGTGCGTTAAATCACAGGAAATGAAACCAAATCAGTAATCATGTGCTAATAACTACTGATCTATTGACGAAATTATAGGTACATTACTTTTGAGAAGTATTTAACAGGAAATGGACTATTTGAGATTGCACAAGTATAGTTATATTTAATGAAGAGTTTAAAAAAAATCTAGTGAAGTATTACTAAAAGACTTCAAAGTCAAGGGAAAGTAAAAGGATCCTATTATAGTTTCTGTCAAAATATTCAGTTTCAGTTAAACTTTGCTTTAATAGCTTAAAATAACCGTTTCAATTATATGGCATAGTTTCATGAAAATTATTCATTGAACACTTAATTTCACTGGAAATTGTAAAGCTAATGTGAAGTTTACTCAAGATGTTGGTATACTATGTATTTTCATAGATTGATATTATGGAAACATTATTTTGTAATGCATAAGAAAGTGTGCATTGTCATTTAAGTTGGTTTTTTGCAATATCTGTTGTGTTTTATGCTATATATAGACAAGGTAAAAATATAGGCATAAGTGATTAAGTATGACATTTCCCTTACAGTATTTCAGTCATATAGGCGGGTAGTTTCCTAACCATCGTTCCTTGAGAGTTACACCAGTTCTAGACTACCTTGCTCTACGCTAAACTACCAAAGCATCTCCCGGGGATCGAACCCACGCCAGAGATGTAACTGGATTAGTAGTCATCAACTCTAACCCCTCGACCACAGAGGCAGTTATAACATGGGGGAATTAAAATTGTGTTGGTGTGGAGATTCTAGTTTAAGATGTTTGTGTTTAACATATATTATGGAACAATTAACCTCAATTTTGTATACTGCTGGAATTATTTCATTATATAACATTATATTTGAAATCTGCCAAAGAAATTTTTTTAACTGACTCATTTATTCTCTTGTCTATGAAAACTTGAATCAGAAAAGCTTGTCGAGATGAAGGTCCCAGCAGGTTGATATTCTTTAGATGAGAGCTTAAACCATTGCCTGCTTGCATGGTCTTGTCCATCATTCAAATTGGATAATATCATTTATAATTTTGAAAGGTGTCCACTTAAAATTTACTGACTGAATTGTGAACAGTGCAGACCATGATCAGACTGCACCACTATGCATCTGCACTGGTCATGCTAAGAGTTAAAGGTCATATTGATGTTTTTTCCTGGTTTGTTATACATTTGTACATCAGAACAAAGAAAGATATTAAAATAGAATGTACATCTCCTACTCAAATTGCATAAAGGTTCATAAATTCTTGTAAAATATTTTTGTTTTTGTTTAATCTGTTGAACAAAATTCTCTTTTAATATAATTTATACTGTTGCTCAGATAGAATTTTGACATGTTAAGTACAGAAGTGGTATAGTTGAAAAATGTCGTCTTAAAAGTTTTCACATACTGCTCCAATATAAGTCATTGGTCACATAATCAGCTTCAAGTCATGACATTTTAAACTTAAGAAAGAATAAGCATAATCTGTTAATTTAAATTCACTGAAATATCAAGTACAATTTAAAACTATTGTATTGTAGTGTTGCAGGTTAGAAAACCTTTGTTTTAATCGGCATTGTATGAAACATAAATCAAACCCACAATTAGTGGTGTGATCAGTTTTCCTGTTGATATCAAGGTTGTTGTGTAAAATTCAAGCTATCCTTTTTAATTATTATATAAAAATTGGGATTTTGTTGTTTGTTTTGTTTGTTTTTTTAACTGATAGCAATTGTGTTTAGTGTCGCCTTAAAAAGGCGACATATAGGTGTTACTTTGTCATCGTTTTGGTAAGAACCAGCACACTGCACTTCTTATTAGCTCAACTATACAAAGTATATGGAGAGCTGTCCTACCCCTTGCAGAAATAATAGAGTATTTGTCCATCGTGCCTCTTAAAGATGGCAAGGCAGATACCATCACAACAGCCATCCTGGAGCTACTGTCATCATGCAACCTGCCTCTGCAGCAGATGTGTGCCTTTGGTTGTGATGGAGCGGCAGTAATGGTTGGGAAGAAGACTGGGGTTGCTGTCCAGCTTAGACAGCGAGTTCCTCACCTGATCAGCAACCACTGTGTGGCCCATCGATTGGCACTGGCTGTAGCACAGGCTGTGAAAGGGGTTCCATACCTCCCTAGGTTTAAGGATATCCTTGGGGACCTCCATCGTTTTTATGATCACAGTCCTGTACGCACATCAGGCCTGAAGGACATACAGGTAACTAATTAAAATAATTGACTCGGTCTAAACCTATAAATTAATGTAAAAATAACAATGCCTGAGATGACTTATTAACTATTTATTATATTAAATGTGTTTTGTATATAATATCATGTGCAGATATTTATTGATCTCTATTTTAGAAGTTGCTAAATGAGCCTGTTCTCAAGCTGGTTGAAGCCAATGATGTACGGTGGCTGAGCCATGACAAGGCAACAAACACGCTGATGAAGTGCCTTCCCTCAGTATTTACAAGCCTGGAACGGGAGGCTGAGGAGAGGAATGATGTCAGGGCAGCAGGACTTGCAAAGTTCACCCAGGACCATCGCTTTGTGATGTCTCTTCACATGATGTGTGACACTTTACCTCATCTCACAGAACTATCAACTGCCATGCAGGTATGTGTAGATTATATGCAAGATACTCCGAAGTGAAATAGTATTGTTTAAAGTTACGTTTAAAACTAACATTTTGGCTTATTTAAACTTGCCTTTTTGTCCAAGTTAACATTTAAAAAGCTGAAAACAGCTATAAATTGTATTTTTGTTTGATATTTTCAGGCCCGGGATGCTATTTACACCACTGTTAAACCACTTGTGACTGGTACACTGTCCATTCTGCGGGGTCTGCAGACCATGCCAGGTGAGGCCTACCAGAGTGCTGTACAGAGGGTAGAGGACCTTCAGGCCCAGGGGTTTAACATCAAGCCTCCTTCTGAACAAGAGATTGTCAACTTTAGAGAGAAGGTAAATTAAATTTTGCTTAATCTATGAATTTATTTAGAATGCTGAAATTTCCTTATATGTTGTTAATCAAGTTTCCTGAAGCTGAAATGAACAAGAGGCAATTTAAACATTATATTGAAACATGACATTGTATTATTTTAGGTGTTCAATCCATTTATGGAGAACATTGTTTACAATTTGGAAGGCCGATTTCCAGACCTGCCCCTTATACACAAGTTTGAGGTTTTTAACTCAAGGAAGTTTCCTGATGACAACAGCACCAGTCATGGGGAAGAGGACATCAAGGTATAATGAAATAACAAATTTCTAACGAAAAGATTCTTGTTATTTTTTAGCAAACTGGATAAAGGAATAAAAAAGTATGATTGGTAGAATATCATAACTGTAGTGTTTTAAAGATATGGATATTAAAGCAAATTCTAATTGTTACTGTAGAATGTCAAAGGAAAAAGTTTGTAACACCATTGACAAGATGTTTTTTTTTAAGGTGCTGGCTGAGCACTTTGGGCTTGTGGTTGACAAGACCCTTCATGAGTGGCGCCAAGTAAGAGAATCCCTTGCTGACAGTGGGCTTGCTGCAGACAAGGCCATGGAGTGGGTTACCACTAATTTGAACACCAGCCACACCAACCTCTTCAAACTTGCAGCTGTTGGGTTGTTGATTCCTACATCAACATCAGGTAAAAAACTACAAATATAAATCAAATCATATAAAAAATCAGTCACAAATTGTATATCTAAAGAAAAAGAAAAAAAAATCTCTACATTTCTTTTTTATTTTTGTTTTGGTTTGATTCATGATTTTTTTTTTTTTGACAGACTGTGAGCGTGGGTTTTCCACCCTTAAGAGAGTTAAAACATCCCACAGATCATCCTTGAGCCCACCTGTCCTCAATGCAATACTTACTGTTGGGATGCTAGGACCACCAATAGACAAGGTCGACATTAACAACATGGTGAAAAATTGGCACAAGGAGAAACCCAGGCGTAGCCAGCTCTAGGCACCAGTCCTAACATGACATTTCATTAATGTTTGAAATATTTTTTTCTGTTTAAGTTTTTGTTCTTCTGTTGAAAAAAAAACAATAAAAATATGTAAATACTGACCACCTTTGGTTTGTTTAATCTCCCACTAAACATGCACCAAAATACACCATTCCATTGTAAGGTATCAAAAAATTTTCGACACCCACCCCATCTTACTTGCGCTTAAATTTATTTCTGGGGAAGGCCCTGAATATATACTGGTATTTAAACAAGAGGGCCATGATGGCCCTGGATCGCTCCCCTGACCCATTAACCGCATCCAAGCAATGTCTTAGACAAGCATCCTGGCCAAGTTTGAAGACAACTGAGTCAAACATGTGACCTCTAGTATGTTAAAAAAGGTTTTTCCATACTTGGGCAATGTGACCTAATTTTTGACCAGAGACAACCCATATTCAAACTTGACCTAGAAATCATCAAAACAACCTTCCTGACCAATTTCCAGGTAATTTGGATCAAAACTACAGCCACTAGAGTGTTAAAAGAGATTATTCTATTTTAAGCTTCTGTGACCTAGTTTTTCACCGGACATGACCAATCTTCGAACTTGACATAGAAATTGTCAAAACAACCTTCCTGACCAATTTCCAGACTATTTGGTTCAAAACTGCAGCCACTAGAGTGTTTACAAGCTTTTTTTATTTTTAGCTCCTGTGACCTAGTTTTTGACCGAGATTACCAATCTTCAAACTAGCCATAGAAGTCATCAAAACAACCTTCCTGACAAATTTCCAGAATATTTTAATCAAAACTGCAGCCACTAGAGTGTTAATAAGCTTTTTCTATTTTTAGCTCCTGTGACCTAGTTTTTGATCAGAGATGACCCATCTTCAATCTTGACCTAGAAATCATCAAAACAACCTTCCAGACAAATTTCCAGAATATTTAGATCAATACTGCAGCCATTAGAGTGTTAACAAGCTTTGTCTATTTTTAGCTCCTGTGACCTAGTTTTTGACCCGAGAAAACCCATCTTCAAAATCGATCTGTATTTCATTAAGACAACACTCTGACAAAGTTTGAATATGATCCAATCAAAAGTGTGACTGCTAGACTGTAAACAACACAATTGTTGACAACGCACGACGACAGACGCCGGACATAGCCCCATCAAATACACACCTTGACCACTTCGATGTCAGGTGAGCTGAAAATGACACATTACTTTTGCCATTAAAGATTTTGCTCTTGTTGTACAGATTTGCCAGAGCAAGCCTACAATGAGAAGGAGGTGGAGGAGGAATATGAAGAAGATCAGCTTGGAGAAAGGTTTGACACAGAACGTCAACTGGAGTCTGTCACAGATAATCTCGTAGCAGAATAAGAGTTATCCTCTGAAAAATCTGCATGCAGAGGTATTAAATATTTTTATTTGACACTTTAGGATCATTTCTCTGTCATTAATCTATCTGTCACAGTTCAATAAACTGCTCTTACATTGGTAAAGCATTATTATGCATAGAAATAAAGAAAATAGATGTATGGCAACATGAAGCATTTAGTTTGACATCATTGCATCAATTTAGCTTAAAACCTAGAAAGTGCTTGCAAGGGACTTGTTGGTTCGCCAAATCCCTTGTTAGCAGTACTTAAATAAGTTACGTCGGTGAATAATTTATGGTACAGGGTTCCAGTATATACAGTACAGTCAACTCTTGTTGGCTCGAACTCAAAGGGACTGGCAAAAATTGTTAGAGAGATTGGTTACGTTCAAGCCACCCATATTGCAGCCATTTTGTTTTTTGATATTCATATACTACGGCTCAATAGCTCTACGTGCGGTAATAAATACTGCTCTTATACGGCACATTATGCTGTAGAATTAAACTGTCAATTATACTTAGCATACTGTAAGATAATATGAATACATGTGCTAATATCTAAAATTCACATTATATCAATTCAATTCACATGGCAGACAGATCTATGACAGAAGCGTACATTTTCTATTGTTAAGTATTTGTTTATTGTTTATTGCACAATGTGCTAAAAACAGGCACCGGTTTTGATGGCTAGCTTGTTATAACAATGAAGGTGTGAACAGTTTGCACTGTGCATAACATTTCACTGACTGACATTTTTTTGTTTGAGCCAAAAGGTGTGAATTACACTATAAATTAGCTAAGGGGACAGGACATGGAGTTCATTGTATTGTTCTACATTCTTACGGTAGCACCTTTTCCGGCTTAATGTAAACAAATAGCCGAAGAAATAATTAGCCAAATAAACGTTAAAAAGCACGAATTAAACAATAGACTGTAAAACAATAATTGGCGGCGAGCAAAACAACTACTAAATCACCATCCACAACACCACTACGACACCACTACGCTCCAAGAAGCATCCCATAGCGACGGCCGTACCCCACCCACTACATCCACTAACTTCTAGACACCACTTTTTACCTTTCCTCCCACTAAATCTTTACAAATTTATTTGAATGCTTTGTTTTTTTAGGAACTGTTTAATTCATTTTATAATTTAAAACACATTTTATAACAAAGCATTCGGTCGCTTTTGACCAAAAGAGTGTGTGTTTGGTTTGTTTATTACCCGATGTGTGCATCATTCATAAATTCTGTGTTCTATATATACACTTATAGAAGAGCTGGTATCTCATACCATTTTTAATAAAGAACCTTTTATAAATTAATATACTAGTATAATACTAGCTTTATATGAATATGCTGCTGGTCCGCAGTGAATAATTCTTAATTACAATGAAGTACAGGGTGGCCAGATATGGGCCATCCCGTCATCATAGGGACCTATCGGGTGTCATGGCAATGCCTTGGACAAATGAGAGGGCCACTATGTAAACAAGGCAGTAGCCAGGAACGTCAGGATCCTAAAAGGGCTAGATGGTAAGATCACCAATTTAAAAATTAGGACCCTTTCCAGTGAAATCAATCTGAAGTTTACACATGTGCTTAAGGCAACACCCCTCGCGTCAGGTAACATTTTCCTTGAATTTGCGTCTACGGAAGCACTCAACAAAGCACTTTATTTACCCAAGTTTAAGCTTGGGGGAGTGGAGTGCATCGTTAAAGGACTGCCTCAGGAACACTCTTATGAGGTAGTTATACATGGCATTCTGCTGGAGGAAGATCTGTCAGAATTCCAACACAAAATGAGGGTCGACCGACTCCAGAATAAGCTTAGGCAAGATTCAGTATAGAATACTGTATGTAAGGTTTCGATAATAAAGTTTTATTTTTTAAATTTTTTGAGTTGGTGCACAACCATTGTATAAAGTGTACAAAACTTATTTTAAGTGTTTATTTTAAAAGTGGCCCTAATAAGTGGCAGTAAAACGGTGCTATAAAGAAGTTTATTTATTATCTATATTTATTATTATATTATTTTTAATTAAATAATTTCTTAAAAAGGCTGTGCACAAGACAATTTTTACCATACAGTTTCATGGTTATTTTCAAAATTTGGAGGTGCTGGCTACAGATTACCCATAATGTCAAAAAAGACTCCATATTGTATAATTATATCCCTTTGCCCCCAGCCCCGTGTTATTTATAAAAACTAGTATACTTAATACTAGTAAACGTGAACCTGTGCCCCACATGGAGCAATACGTTTATCACGGGTTCACTCAAGCATGAGATTTTCTTAAATAAGTTACAAAAAGACTATCTCATCATATTATGGGTAACCAAGTTATTAATATTAACCATATTTGGGACTTAGATTTTTTTTTATTCTTCTATGAATTGTTTAAGGTCATAGAAGATTAATTATTATGTGTGATATCTAGATGCATAATAATTTATATACCATGAGACAGTGATTAATAGATAAGGCTGTTTCCAACACGTTTTAACTATGATATTTGTTTTATTTTAGACTCAAAGTTGGTAAAACATGTATACATTGGAATGCAATGGGCACCCGCTAAATTTTCTATCCAGTCCGCGCGACAAACTTGTCGAAATAGGTCAACTCAAAACTTGCAGAAATTTCAACAAAATCGGATTGACCTCCTTATTTTGAAAGAACGAGGACAAAGGAGGCAATCATTTCTAAACGAATCAAAATAACTTTTATACAGCAGGTGTTCGGTAACAAAATTTATAACAAACTCTGCTAATTACAAACATGTAATTAATCATATGCATCCCAATTCAGTTTATAACATTTAAATAGAAACCAACATAAATCACAGTGAGAACATATTGAAATGGTCAGAAAACGTTCCTGACATGCCTTCTTCGCATGTAAGTATGCAAACTCTAAAATTTTATATGTAATATATTCAAATTTTTCGTCTTATTAAATCGACCTGTTATAAAAGAACTTTTATAAAAGTCTTGGCCAATTTCAAAATAAAAGCATTTTAATAATTAAATTTTTGAATTCTTAAACTTAGTATGGGATTGCCCTATCTTCCTCCCATGGCAGAAGTTGTACGTAGAGACTACCCTGTCAAGGGGGATATGGTATGCACATAACACATGTACAGATATAACAATAAGTAAAGAAACATCAGCTCCCCCATTTAATAGGTTATAAATGAAGTATATGCTCCCCCATACGGTCTCTTTCTGGTGGCGAGGGTAAACAAACTCAAACACACACACAACATGGAGTTCGAGAGTTACAGTTATCTGTGTTCTAGCCATCCCGAATAGAACAATAGAGTATGTATAGAAAGAAAATTCGGGACCTGACAAGTAGTTCAACTCACGAGGGTATTTACGCCATCCAAGTTCCAGGGAGTGAGAGTCGACTGTATTTTAATCACTATGTCTTCGACTCAGCTTAATACTGTAGTTATGTCAATATTCTGATATTTCATAGTTTCTAGAAAAAATGATGTTTGTGTGAATGCTTAAGACACCTTAGATCTTATTTTACTTCAATCTACACACAGTACAGATTTAAATTCACTAAGACATTAGATTCAATGTGTAAAATTACATGAATAATGTATAAACTTTGAAGGCTTTAAAAGGAAAAGATGGACAATGGAGGAAGAAAGTGATTTAATGAAGGAATTCAAAGTGCATATTATTGAAAAAAGAAACCCC